TTAAACCAAATTGTATGTTGCAATGATAACGCTTATCATAAAAGAGAAATTTTTAAATATGTTACAATGATAACGCTTATCATATAAAAGAGAAAAATTTGAATAGAAAGGGACAATTAATTAATGAGATGATTAGACAATTCTCATTCATTCTGCTCGTTATCGTTTTTTGCTATGATAGCAATAATTTCACTTAAATAAAATACATTTCTAAATTTTTAAATTAACTAATTTCAAAAGCAATTATATATGGGTGTGAAGAGTCTCATAAAGATTCCTAAATGTATAAGTTGTCAATAACAGAAGAAGGTGATGGAGATCTTAGCGAAGTGATAGGATTGTGATAGTGAAATTTGATTGATGAATTGACATAAAATCTATTTGCTGTAAGATTACGATAATTTTCAATGCCATAATAAATAATATGCATGCAGGATGCATTCATGTCTGCAATAGTAAAGACTCGTTTTCTTTTAACCTAATTATTGAATGCTATCATAAAATTCCTATCATTATCATTATCACTTTTGCCGTACAAAATTATATTTACTGTTATATTGCCCGATAATTTTCAACCTTTCACTTTTTAGAACTATTTTCTTTTTTAATTATATTTTCACTCTTCATAATTCTTAATGATACATATGATATCACTAATTTTAAATGACCGAATTTCCGAATTGCTTCAAAACTTTCAGCTAATTTTGCAATTCAATATTTTATAAAATATTAGGCACTTTTTTATTCTTTTATTATACTCTTAATGAGTATAATAAGGCTGGTAGTAATTGAAACGAAAGAACAATAAGAGTTAGATTTATAGTGAATAGATCCTAATTTATCACTCAATTTATTTCCCGATATCTTAATTAAATAATATTTATTGATAAGAAAATCAGCAGGACGAGTAAATAAAGCTTCTGCTGATTACATATGATAGTTTATTTAACTTCTAATTTTAATTAAAATATCGGAAAGTAAATTTGATATTCTTTTCTATTACTCTTTCAATTGTTTTAGTCGAATAAATTCGATAAGAGAATAAATACACATTGAATAATTTGCATGAATTTAATTGATAAATGAGTTATTTGTTTTAATTAATAAGTGAGTTATTTTGTATAATATAACTATCAGCTATTTTATTAAAACTAATAATTATCAAGAAATATTTATCTTAATATGTTACATATTATTATTTAAATTTATCCTTTCTCATTTATTGATTTTATTAAAAGTTTTCATATTTCTTTTTGATATAACCATTTTCATTGATAATATTCGCCAATACATATTTCTAGGACTTTCTGGAAGGAAAAACTGCAAATTAATTTTTTTCATAGCAATAAACAATTCAAGCTAATGAAGCAAATTGAAGTGACGTATTCCTATAATTCCTTTGTTGCTTAGTAATTTCATCATTTAATTGTTATATAATGAGGGTATGAATAATTGTATTTTGTAGTGGACTGCGTTATCTCGAGGAATAGTTAATGAAGCTAAACTGCCTGAATTACATTATGATTACGATGGCATATTCAGGATTGAGATGCCAGGTTGACATCTGTTCACTCAAAAGTGAAGCTTTAATTCTTCATTTCATTTGTTTCATGGAGATGTGGTAATTGAGGAGGAAGGTTACAATCAGGGCAAGATCGCCTGCATCTAAATGGATTATGAAATCTGTAAACAAGATATCTTGATTAACATTTAAGAATTCTCGATAGCTTTATATTAGTCAATTATTTCTTCTTATGAAGAATCACTATCATAGGATAGGTTTGAAAGGGACGAATAAATATTTATGCCAATTTTTGATTTTAATTTTTATTTGAGAACTTTCATCTAAATTTTTTATCACATTTATTTTAATATGCTATTTGTTTTTTGATTGAAATTTTAATTTGAACATATCAGAATATATGATAGGAATGAAATTACTAAGTGACAAAAATGATGAATGAATGAATGAATGAATTCAGTAATTAGCATTTATAATTATGTTGGAATTATGATGATATCGTACTACTCCGAGGATAATTTTACTTTGCTATAAATCAAAATAAAATTTTTTAATGTAAATACGCGAAAGATTTTAATGTTTTAGCTATTTGAGCTAGATATAGCTCAAATAGCTTATTTTAGCTGACAGTTTAATTTAACTGCGACGAATATGAAATTTACAAAAGTTGAAAATGAATGAAAGAATTCTCTGTTGTCGTATGATTTTTAGTAATTTTTTAAATTTAGCAAATTTTATTGTTTCTGTTTGAATTTGAATTTCTACATCTTTATACTTACATCACAAATAATTTCGTCGTTTGAATCATTTCCAATCATTTCAAAATTTTTATATTTTAATATTTTTTTCGCTAATTAAATTGTATTACATTTATTGTTTATTTTCAAGAATATTTTGTGATATTTTTTGCTGCCAGTTTGCATTAATTTTAGATTATTTAAAATATTTCAAATTATGCATTAATTGAAATGGATCGATCGGTACGTGCATTATGCGCACTAATAATACTTTTTGGAATGGATTTCTCTCATATCATTTTACATTTTATTTTTGATTGTTTAGAATGAGAGATTGATTTCACTGATATTTCATAACCTTTCAGATATTTTTTTTGTAGTGGATAAGTTTATTTGTTTTAAAAACTTGTGGGAATTAAGCAATCAATTTTTCCTCTTTTTTCTTTGTTTTAAGTTTTAATTTTTACATTCATTTTTTCCGCTATGTTTATTTTTTCTTTTAAATTTTAATTATTATTTTGGAAATAAAATTAATGTTGCTAAATTTTCGTTTTCTTTTTTTTATAGCAATTATATTTGAATTAATTGTTATAATTATTTTGTATTTTAATTATTTAGGTTAGATTTTAATTAGTATTATGAATATGCATATATAAGTAATAATTAATAAATGAAAATAATAATTGTTAGCAAAAGGATAAAAAAATGAGAGGAAGGAAAAGAATGATAGAATGTAATTACGATATTAGCGATAATTAGAAATGCTTTTAAAACAAAGCAAAAAAAGTAGATTAACAAAATTAATAATTAAATAATAAGATTTAAATAAACAGAAATAAAATCTACAGCAATAATAATAATAAATCTCGTATGGATATTTAATTAAAATTATAAAATATATTGTGAAGAATAAATGCAATAAAATTTATAGTAATGATAGTAATAATAATAATAATAATAATAATAATAATAATAACAATAATAATAATAATAATAATAATAATAGCAATAATAATAAATAATAATAATGATAATAGTAATAATAATAATAATAGTAATAATAATAATGATAACAATAATAGTAGTAATAATAATAAATAATAAATCTGGCATGGATATTTAACAAAAATTATAAAATATATTGTGATAAATAAATGCAAATAATAAATCATACTACAACTTCCTTATCCTATAACTAACTTTGAAAATAATCTAGCTGTCAAATTTTGTAAAATTCTATGTTAGTTTTAAATAAAGTTTGAGAAAGAATTTTACCATGGGAATTAAATAGGAAAAGCAAACGGCATTTTGTGTTATTAAAATTCATAAGCCATTTATTTTTCTTCACTCTTTTCCTTCTGTTCCATTTATTCGATCTGACTTGACTATATCCATTTTTAAATAGTTTCAGTTTCCACAGGGAATTCTTTTCTATTTTTTCACATCCATTTTTTTTCGTCGTTGTAAATCGATTAACTAAACTGAAAGATAGTCGATGTCATCAGAAATAATGGCTAAATAATGATTACATCTGGTAACTACGATAATTTAAATGAACAATAGAATTGGCCGGGATATCTTTTAAAGATTCCCGGCAAATCTCGTTAATTCATATTTCATTTGAAAAATCTTTCGATGAATTTATCCATCTAAAGTAGAAAAAGAACAAAATTAAACAATGAAAGTAGTGATTATGGAAGTGAAGGAAAAATGATTTATTTAAGATTAAGTATAATTAATTCGATAATTTCATATTTTAGGTTAAACTACCAAACTTCTATTATTTGACTTTTAGCATCAAAATGATCTGATAAGTGAAACTTTCGTTGTTTACTGTAATATTTCTTTCATTGTTTTATCATTCATCCCTTAAAAAATTTGATAAGGCATTATTGTCCTTCATTTATCGTTCTTTTACTTTCACTGATTGTAATCGGTAATGATTCAAAAAAAATTCCTCGATTTTATCTAATTATAGTAAGCAATTATAATTTACTCATTTAGTTCTAATTCATTTCTTCTATAGCGTTCATTTTTTTCTTTCAAATTTCATATTTTTTTCAACAGCGTTCTAACATTTTTTAACTATAACTTTATTTTGTATTAACTATAACTTATTTTTGTATTAACTATAACTTTATTTTGTATTAACTATAACTTATTTTTGTATTAACTATAACTTATTTTTGTATTAGCTATAATTTTATTTTGCATTAACTATAATTTATTTTGTATTTTTAATTTCACTTTGTATTAAAAGATAATTCTTCTCTTTTTTGTTTATTTTTTTGAATTTTCAGAGCTTCAATTGATAATTCATAAAAAACGAACTAATACATTGCTTATTATGCATTATCACATATTTTACATTCGCAGACACATATTCTATAATTCACGTGATACGTGAATTTCTTCTACTATAGTCTTCTGTTTCACGTTTTTCCCTGCTAATATATTTTCCATCAAATGAAATTGAAACTGCAATTGCTGAAAGAATTTACTATATTCTTTCACGTGTTCCTTTAATTTGCAACTTTTCCGTATCCCATTCTCATCCAAATGATTTGATTAGAGGTGAAGAAAATATAATTTCCGTTTAATAAATGGATGTGTCGTTTTTTGGTTAGGCAAATATTTCGTTGAGCAAACTTTTCGACAGTAACAAGCGGNACTTTTCCGTATCCCATTCTCATCCAAATGATTTGATTAGAGGTGAAGAAAATATAATTTCCGTTTAATAAATGGATGTGTCGTTTTTTGGTTAGGCAAATATTTCGTTGAGCAAACTTTTCGACAGTAACAAGCGGGGAAATATTTCCTTACGATTATTGCTCTTTTGTTGTTCCATATGCAAATAAATTATACCATCATTTGATTTCAAATTCAATTTCGTTCAATCGATTGTAAAAATTTTTCCATTTTAAATTTTACAATTCTAACAATGAAAGTTTATCAAATTTTCAAAAATGGAAATCATCAAAAATTGGAATATTGATTAGCATTATCTTAATTATTTTTCATTTTCACATATTCATTTTATGCCTTTTTTTTCTTTACAATTTATTTTATAGTATATAATTTGATTAGATTTAAATTTTATTACATAAAATTTCAAATATTACTATTTAGAGAAATTATTTTGCAATAGTAGCTGAATTAAGTGTTAAATTTAAAGAGTAAAAATTTGTATCATTGAAATACTAAAACAAATTTAATTAAATTTTCATAATGATAATTATAGAAAATTTTCTTAGTTTCATTTTTCTTATCCTCGCCTATTTCACGTGGGAATTTTTGGACATAATAAAAGTTTGTTTGGAAATCAGAACAGCAGAAGAAGAAGAAGAAAGCTATTTGCATAATAACTAACTAGTAGCAGTGATTTATAATAGTAGCCATTAATAGGATGCTTTCATGCAATCTTAATGTTCCAATAGCCAATGGCTATTTGCCTGCTATTAATGAAGTGAAGTGAAGCGCTATCTCTCTGTTCGTTATTTTTAATTGTTAACTATTTTAATTTAAATATGAGAAAGTGTGGTGGCATAAATAAAAACCGATCGAAAATCTTTTTTCATTTCTATTTTTATGCTATTTTATTTTTAAAACAAAAGTTTGCATTTTTAAAATTTTCCTTTTTCTCTTTTTCATGTCAAATAATTTTTTTCAATTTACCTTCAAAATTATTTCTGTCTTTTTTTCTCTTTCTCTCTCTCTTTTTACGATCATAATTCTCCGAAAATCATTATGAAGTTTTTTCCTCTTTTCTTCCTCTCCTCCTTAAAATTATTATAGACATCGTATTCTCTTCGTTTGTTTCATTTATAAAATGTTTGATTTTATTTTGTTGTATTATTTCATTCGATCAATCTTATTTTATTTTAGCTTATATCAGACAAAATAATTCTATTAATTATTAAATGAATTTATTTTACTCTTTTTCTCTCCCCATTTCTTTCTCTCTCTCTCTCTCTTTCTTTCCACCTTTTATGCTAATTGTTTTATAGAATTTTGTGAAATTTAATATTTTGCTGTTGAAATATGTGGGAATTTTTTTCTTAAATATCATAAAATAAAAAAGGTGAAAAAAATTGACTGCAATTAATTACAATGTAATTAATTATATTTATGTTTCATAATATAAAGTGTAAATATTATTAGTGTTTTTAGGTCATTCGTTGCAAACAACGACAAACACAACCACAAACTCATCAAAGTTTACATCACCAAAAGCTTCCGCACTTCGTGCACCTGCTATACGTGTTCATCCACCAACGATCAAACAATCCGGGTATTTCTAATTCTTGAAAGCTTTAAAATATTTTCAGGTTTGATAGCATATTTGAAATGAGAGATTTGTTTTGGTTTATAGTTTGTAATAACTAATAAATTAAAACAATATGTTATTTAAACTTTAATCAATTTTTATTCTGTAATTATAAACTTAAATAATTCTCAAATTATAGTTTAAATTATGGGAAATTATTATTCTGTTAGACATTTTTGATAAATAACACGAATCAATATTGGAATTTAATTATACAAAGAGATATTATTAGTAAGGGATTGAATTGAGCGATATGATTTTCAGATTGAATAACAATGAACAATCAAGGCCATCATCTCGAAGTAGTTCGTTAGCCAGTTCCGGAACATATACCTCAATACCATCAACCGCCGGTACAGCTCCTTCAACATCTGTATCGAATAGCCTCACTGATACATCATCTACTGGAAATCAAAAAATGCTTAAAATTAAATTTTTTGGTGGAAATAAAGATAAAGTTTGTTTATTTCTATCCTAAAAATGTTCAATTAATTAATGATAGCTAATATATTTCATGTTAGAAGAATAGTTTTCCAATTTACTTACAAATTTTATATATTTATTGAGCTTATCATTTTTTAATCACTCCTAACAATTAATTAAACATCGATATTTTCTAATTTTTAGCTTTCATGTTATTTTGCTATATCACCTATTGATTATTTTCTAAACCTTTCCTAATAGTTTATCATTTTTTAATCACTCCTATTAATTAGATTATTAACTCTAATTAATTAAGCATCGATATTTTCTAATTTTTAGCCTTCATGTTATTTTGCTATATCACCTATTGATCATTTTCTAAACCTTTCCTAATAGTTTATCATTTTTTAATCACTCCTATTAATTAGATTATTAACTCTAATTAATTAAGTATCGATATTTTCTAATTTTCAGTTTCATGTTATTTTGCTATATCACCTGTCGGTCATTTTCTAAATCTTTCCTAATAATTACATTATTAACTCTAATTAATTAAGCATCGAAATTTTCGAAGTTTAGCTTTCATGTTATATTGCTATATTATCTATTGATCATTTTCTAAACAACAAAACGAAAAAAATCATTTCCATTAATTACAAATTTTTATTATTCAAAATTTCCGAAATATATTTTTAGAAATGCAATTCATAATGTTTTCTTCTTTTTTTTAAAGCAAAAATATTGCAAAACGATTTGGCAAATTTGGCTATAATACATTAAAGTAAAAATTGCTTTTCTTTTTTGTTATTTTTACTGACCAAATTAAAACTTATCGATTTGCCAACCAACCTATTTTATTTCATTTTTTCCTTTCTCATCAACCAATTATTATTATTATAGTCTATTCGATCGACTATTTCTCCCCTTTCTTCTTATTATTGTTTATTTCAAGATTCTAAAAAAACGAGAGAGAGAGAGAGAGAGGGAGAGAGAGAGAGAGAGAATAACCGAATTCAAAGAGATATTTTCATCTAAATATCTGAAGAAAAAAAAAGAAATGAAATGATAAAAGCATTAGCATTTTACAACGAACGTTACCGTCCATTTCACACTCATCCATTTCATCTCATTGGAAATGTCTTTTTCACTTTTTCACGTCATACAAATGAATAGGCCTAGCCTGTCTATCTTTTCCGATCACTTTTAAACTGAATATTTTTGTTTGAAGGAGAAAAAAATTTTTTTTCCACAAATGAAAAAAGTTGGAAAAAAGAAGAGGAAAAAAGAATAGCTTTTTTTAACGTATGAAATTACATATATGCATTTAATTGCGCCGAAATTGTGCACATCATTTGATGATAATATATCATTAATAGTACCATACTATACCACATACCACATCATGCCATACTACACCATACCACACCATACTATATCACATCATACCACACCATACTACACTATACCATACCACACCACATCATATCATACCACATCATATAATACCATATCAACCATACCATTTCATATATCATATCATATCACATCAACCATACCACACCATACCAGATTATACCACATCACACCATACGTCATATATCATATCAGATATCAACCATACCATACCACACCACATCACATCATACCATATCACATCATATAATATCATATCATATCAACCATACCGCACTTAATTTTTATGTGTAATTAATCAATTAAAAATTTCAATTTGCATTATCGATATTTTCTTTTAATCACATGAATTATTACAAAAAAATTTTGAAAACAATAAACTTTTTCTTACTTTTTTTCTGTGATATTTTCCAATGACAATTTGCGCAAATGTTTTTGAATTTAAAATAAAAATTTCAAACATTCCATAATTTTTAGTAATGAATTCCTTTGAATTATAAAAAGAAGGAAAAAATGCATTTCAATTTTATCTTTCTTTGATTTAAAAAAAACTTTATGTTTACTTTCTTTAGGGTAAAATTTATGCACCGATGGGAGCAGTTGGAGCGGGTGCAATAACGGCAAATACTTCTTGTCGTGGAACGATGGTTGAAATGAAAAATTCGAAATTAACCATCAATCAAAATAATGATGATACAGGAAAAGCTTGCGGATTAATGAAGCCAAAAAATAATACAAAAGTATCACGTAAGATTCCAGCTACAACATCGATAACATCGGCAGCTACACGTGATACGATAAAGGTAGAATAAATTAATTTATTGAAGTAAAACTAGGAATAATTGTTATCAGAAAATGATACGATTTAAGTAATATTACTTCTTGAAAGCTTAAATAACAATCAAATCTTCCTGCTATCAATAACATTTCATTTATTTATTTTCCATATTTTTCCCTTTTCCCTAAATTTAAGATTCAAATAATCCTTTTTTTCGTCCCCTCTATATTTTTTTCCAATATCCTAAAATGAAATTAAACTTAAATTTACTGTGCTTTTCTTATAAAGGTATCATCTCAGATCTCAATTACATTCTTTTGAGTAATCCTGAAGAAAATTTTTTTAAGTGTGCTATTATTTTAGGCTAATAGTAATATTCAATATGGCAATCATTCACCATTTCTCTTTTCCCATCTGTCTTATTTTCTTTCGAAAACAAAGTCCAAAAGTAAGAGAGAGGGAATAGAGGAAGTTAATAGAAAGTATAAATCAATGAACTAATTGTTTACAAAATTACTATTTCATATACTTAAGTAATTATTTAACTTCTAATAATTATTCCAATATTTTAATTGCACTCTGCAGTGATTAAATTTTACGTGTATACTAAAACATATTGCGACTTCCCGATGTAAAATAAAATAGCTGGTAATTGATTAATCGGTTAGTATTCAAATATCCATCTGCATCGACTAGATGGCTTCAATTGATCCTTTGAATTTCCGTTGTATAATGTGAAAATTGCTTGATAATTTTTAAGATAATCAAAATTAACGCTGCAGCACTATGAAACAGATAAATGCTGGTAATAATAATCATCATCATAATAAATCTTCGATTTGATTATTTGGAAGATTTTGCTAATCAAAATTGTTCACTTTAAATAAGCATAATGACTCATCGAATTAGTTATTCATCCCAAAAAGTATCCTAGTTGTATAAATGATAAGCATTTATCAATCAGCATATCTGTTCTCCGGATTTTATCATCATATTTAGATCCCAAAGACTATCATATACTCAATAAGCCCATTTATAAGTTGACTTCTAACAAATTAGATATATTTTATCTACGATATCGTTATCCGGAATGGGTATGATGAAAATTGTGTTAATATCTTTTGTATACGTTTATATTACCAATCAAAACGTTTTAACGCATCATTTGTCATTACTATAACTATTAGATTTTTAAAATTAAAATTATAATTTTAGGATTAATTTTTTTATTGATAATTGCTGAATAATAAAAATCATTTTTGAAATCTTTTTATTTTCCACCACATTTCTGCTTTTTCCTTTCAACAGATTTTTCATCTTTTTCAAAAATGAATTTAATGTGAAATTTTATATTTAACGAAGCGTAAAAAGTAATTAATTAATATAATTTATTAAAAACGAAATGTAAACTTTTAAATTATAAAATTTATTAAACAATTCAATCAATCGATCGATCGATCAATCGATTTAATCAGTGTAAAAGAAAACTCTCATTCAATCAATAAAAATATAGTAAATTTTTTGATCAGAAAATTTTCAATTTTATTGTTTGAAATAAAACTTTGCATGTTGAAATTAAATACACACACAATACACACACACACACTGATTCTATGTAATACATTTATTTTTTGATATCTTTTTCATTAATCTTTTCATTCTTTGCCCTCTTTCTTTCCCGATATTTGCCGATACTTTTTTTCGTTTTCCTTTTACGATATATATTTATTTAACAATTTCTCAAAACACAAATACCTTTTTTTACATCATTTCACATATTAAATTTTTTCCTTTTCTCTCTGCCGCCCTCTTCTCTTACTGTTGTATTTATTTCCTCACATTTGAAATTATTCAAAGGGAATTAAAATGAGTATATGAATCAGAATGAAATTATATTAACTATTATAAAGTTAGACATATATATAGCAAGGCTTTCAATATATTCTGATTATCAATATTTATTCATTGCAATACATATACATTATAGACATTATACATTATACATTACACTATACATATATTATAGGTAACATTACATACATTGTAGGTAATGAATTATAATCAATAATTCATATTGGAATAGTTAGAAATTGTAGGAATGAGTCATCCTAAAATAAGATTAATAGTACAGAATGAAGTGATCGACCAAAAAAAAGTAAGAATTGAAATTTAAATTAGAATTATATATTCCATATGTTTATATATATATATATGATCTCGAATGATAATGAAAGGAAAGGGAATGATGGGTTAAAAGTAGAAGAAGAAAAGAAGAGTGTAAGGTAAAAGAGTGCTGCAAATTATAATGCTTATCTGCCCACTTTATAGGATTGACCAACGAGTGCCCATATCAACAATCTTAGTTTTGGAAAGTGAAAACTATCATCAGCTTATGAGAATATAAATGATGATAGCCATAAATTTGATTTTACGCTTATATATTTGTATATGGGCATAGGTTAATATTAATTTTTATATTCCTTTTAATGGGTAATATTAATTAATTAATTAATTAATGTTTAAATAATAAAGATAGAACTATTAAAAAAATGAAATTTTAAGACGATTAAGATAATTAAGATGAGGTGTTAAAATTTGTTGGGAAATTATTGATAAGAATTTTCTAATAAGATTCTATTGATAAGATAGGTATTGATAAGATTTTAGATCATATTTCGAATTATATTCCATTTTATTAAAAACGGAATTTTACCGTTATTTCATTGTTTTGTCAAATTTGAGTTATTTTCCGTTAGAACCGGATTTATCTATATGATATATAATAATAATAATAATAATAATGAGTGTATTTTTTTGTCCGTAATTGAAATTTATTCCAATATATTAGGTGGTAATTATTTTTGCAACTTTTTTTAATGGAAATTTAATTTTCCATTTTTTCTACTCTCTCATATTTCACTTATTTTATTTTATATAAAACTCTTCGATCTTTTATAATTTAGTTTCATTTCATTTTTTATAATATATTATAATATATTGGATATTTTGCATATATTCAAATGTGAATTAAAATATTCGAAATTATTTTACTAATTGCTCGTTTTTGTATTTCTTTAAATTTTGTTAAGTTTAAATTCAATTGTTTTATAAGCTTTAAATATTAATTTAAAAATCCGAAATCAATATAATCAAAGAAAGCAAGAAGACGAAGCTGTTATGGGATTAATTAATTTCTAAATTAATACCAGTGATAGTATTGTTTACAGGGTACTGGACTTCGTGCAAGTGGTTTACCACTTCAAAGTAGTTCATCATCATCTTCCTGTTCCAATACCGCTTTGCAAGGAGTTAAACGAGCAGCCAATCGTGCTCCTCAATCATCTGGTACCCATTTAAGACAACCAACAAATCTCGATCCTACGAAAAATAAACGGTTGAAATTCCGAAAATTTTTACATTTTCTTAAATATTTTTAATTTCAGGTCATCAAAATTAAATTATAAATGTAACATATAGTATTATATTATAATACTTATAATTTTTATTACTATGATGATGCATAATAGTCATAACGTTTGATATCACTATAACAGTTATAAATACTACCATAGCATTTTTTATGTCTAATATCAAAATGGTTGTAAGTATAGTTTTATGGCAAACTGTAAATGTATTATCAGTATCACGTCCAATGGTTAACCAACTATTATATCACTCGAGTAAAGTTTGATTAAGTCATATGACGAAAATATTTATATGCTTTTTGGTTAACGGTTCCTCCTATCACAGTGGCCACAAAACCTTAAAGAAATGATTATTTCGAATTATTTATCAAATTGTTTTATTTAATTTAAACGGAACGAAAATATGAAAAATAAATCAGATCCAGAATGAAAAAAGAAAATTTAAAATATTCTTTAGAATTAATTTTGCTACGATTGGAAATATTTGAAGAGAAAATAAATTTAATTTAAAAATGGAAAAATTTTGAATAAAAAATAAGCAAATAACAGTTTTGTTAATTTCTTCCTACTTAATATTCAAATTTTGGAAGCATCCCCAATTAACCTTTACCTTGCTAAATAAGAGATATAAACGAATCATTAATCAATGATTGCATATATATTAGTAAGTTTCAAATAATTTGGTAGAAAAGAAATCGATGAAAGGAATTATACGTACCTGTATTTTTGTTGAATACTAAATCAATATCTTTATCCTATTAAATTCTTTAACGATAGATGAATAATTGTACTATTTGTTATATGATATAGGTTTTCGAAGAGTTCCGAAGAGGATTCTGCATATGCCGGTTTTGGTAGTTCATCACCCATTTCATCCGCCGAATCATCCTCAATGAGTCTCAATTCAACATCGTCGAAGAATTCATCCTGTAGTGGTACCGCAAATAATCCAAGAACCCGAACATTGTCTGCCTTAACATTTCAAAATACCACGACCGCTAATCATCGTTTTATTGGTGGAACAATTCAACCACCATCAAGTCCACATGTATGATGCTTTATGAATATCATAAATTTTATCACATATCATTATCTTGTCAAAATCATTATAATATGATAGAATTACAATTTCATTGAAGTCTAAGAATTTGAATTGGTAGATTGCCTAATATTATTATTATTAACCATAAGCGCTTCATAAGTATGAAATTTTCAGAAGAAGAAACAATAAATAAATTTTGTTTTTGTCCCAATGATTTTTTTTAAGGTAAAAAATTTAGTAAACATTAATTGAGCGAAATCATTAATTCAATTTTTTTATAAGCGTTAACTTAATATTTAGTAATTATTTTAATTTAATACTTATACTTTAATATTTATTCTCTAACTTCGTACCACCTCTTTTATCCAACTTTTATCCCATCACTTTGATTTAAATTAAAAAACAAAAACGGTCGACAGAGAGCATGTTGTTATTTACTGGATGATATAATTTTGATCCTTTTATTTTTGTCCTCCAGTTTTATTTAATTTTTACGAATGATGTAACACTAATCTAAATAAGTGATAGCAAAATCAATCCTGAAAAATAATGCTAATGTTGGCTAACACTTATCGCTTATCGCTTGCTAAGACAATCAAATGATTCACTCTTATCATAAATAATCTTATCATCAATGGTAGAAATGGCCTTTTTTTCTATGTCAGGCATTTTTCTAAGAAATTATAAATGGGAACTGTTCAAAACATTGTAATATATTCGTTTCAACAACATATTTGATTCGAATTAAATTTTTGAAATATCTTAGGCTTTTGTAGGGAAAAAGTAATGACCCGAAATAATTGAGACAATTCCTTTATTCATTTATTTTGCTTAAATGATATTAGTATAATGAATTTTACCTGAAACATTTCTGATGGGTCATATTTGCCTTTTATGAAATGTCTTATAGTAATAAGGAAAAGAAACTAATATTGTTTTGTTGAATATTACAACTTGAGTTCTTTTTTGTGATAATATCTCTAACTGATAATAAGTATTATTATTAGTGATAAGTTCTTTCTTACCTAATTTCTTTTTCTTCTACTCTTCCTTTTCAATCCATTTCATCTCTCTTTACTTTTTAGACTTCCAAAATGAATTTTCCTTGTTATTTTATTATGAAAATGAAACATACAAATATCGATCGTTATGTATTAAATATAGTTATAGTGAAGTGTTTATAGTATATTATTAGAGTAGGATAAAGCTGAAACTAAAATACCATTCGAAGTATAATAATATTTTAATTTCCAATATGATAGCATAGCAAATTTATTGTTGTAGTAATCGTATTAGGAAGCTTTATTAAATTCTTTTCTTGGAATTTTTGACTTTTAATTAAAACATTTAATAATAGAAATTAATAATTAATTAGATTAATTACTCTTTTATGCGATTTCATTCATTCTGTTTATTACAGGAATCGAAGCCAATCTTGGCTGTGAAAGGAATTTCGGCACCTAAAGTTACACATTTAACGGCACCATCAAGTAAATATACATCACCTACTGCAACAATTCCTCAAAATTCACCGGCTTCTCAAGAATCGTCTCCATCAAAGCAGCTTTCATCGAATCCAGATTCTGGACAACAATCTGAGGTCACCGCTACAACCGTAACAACCTCAAATGCAACAGGAAATGCTACATCAACGCTTACAACAACCAAAACTACCAAGAGTATTATTCCATCTCAAAGTCCAACAGTTGGTGTTGTAAGTCCGATGATGAGTCATCGAGTTATCAAATTACCGCAGGCTTCCAACAGTATCACTGGTATGCTTTCTAATCAATATTACATTGAAGCTGAAAAGTGAGAAGTTAAAACAAAGAAAAAATTAATTAACATTCTTTATTTTTACTAACATATAAATAAATTAATGGAAAATTATTTTACACCATACTGCATAATTCATATGCTATTATTAAATGTATCTTTTTTGTATCGAAATAATATTTATGATTATCAATCAATATTTCAGATGGTGGTAGTCAAAGTGATACATCGACAACATCAGGAAGTCGTGGTTCAGATAGTGCCAGTGTTATATATAATCCCGCTGATGAATCAAATTCGTTGTCAACTAATCCGACGACGAAAGCTATTATATCAGATAAAAAACCTCCGTAAATTTTTAATTATTCAAAATTAATGAATTGGTATTTTGAAAAGTTAATTATAGTATTTGTATTAAATTAATATAATTATAGTTACATACATAAATGTATTATTAGATTTGAGAATGTGGAGAATGTATAAATAAAGCGAAATATTTTAGGATAATTGACTTCCTTATTGTTTACTCATTTATCATGTCATCATCTACCTGTCATTATCATTTAGACCGGTGCCACCTGTGCGAACAAATAGTCATTTGGAGACGACATTTGATTCTAATTGTGGTGTAACAACATCGGAAATTACTGCTACTTCAAAGAGTAACAATATTTCTACCTTTCCGGGATCGGATCTCGAAGGGATTCGTCCAATGGACCCAATCATACCATTAGTACCGCCACCATATAATGTTGTCATAAGAAATGGCAAAGCATGTCGACAAAGCGCTCATTCACCTGGTGCTAGAAATGGTAAGTTTTATTTTGCATTGTTTTATTGCAATAAAATTTTTGTCACTTTCTAGAATTGATAAACTTTCTATAGCTCTTTTTTAAAAATATCTGTAGTTTTTTTGTTGAAGATTTTGCTAGAGATAGAAAGATATTCATAAATATCTTTGATATTTATAAATATGATAATCATGATATTTATGATATCTATGATATTCATAGATATCTTTCTATTTTTATTTAGAAAAAAGGAAATGCAAAAAAAGAGTAACAAAGTTGTATATAATTAATACATAAATAAAAAATTGTCATCTTTAAAATGCAAAGGTTACGTGAAAGGTTACAAAGGTTAAATGAAAGGTAACAAATGAAAGGTTACATTGAATATTGAATCATCCGTTATTTATTTTCAAAAATTTTTTGAACAAATTTGGTGGTATTATTTCGTTCGTATCATAAGATATTTTTTGAGTTATAGTTAGATAGAAGAGTTTGAGCTAAAAGGGATGATAATTATTTTTGGCCAAATGCTTCTTCTTCCTTCTCCTCTTTTTAGGTTTCCTTGGCTTCCTTCTATGTATATACGTTGTACTAACTTTTAAAAAAAAAGAATTATAATTTGATAAAAATTTATAATTCTTTGATACTTGCTTCATTTCATCCTTTTTTTATTTTCAAATTTGGTATTAAATATTATGCATGATATTAAATATATTTGATATCAAGTATTCCGAGCCAAAAGATTAAATGATAAGAAAAGATGCCGCAAATATTTAACTGCATTTGATGATATTTGTTATAGTATTATAGGAATTGTCTGCTCTAATTTAGGAATTAGCTGCAAATAAAATTAGATACAAATAGAAATTAGATACATACATGTGTTACTTTTACTAATAATTTAATTTTAGTTTAAATTTTTAATTTTTCAACAGATATCAGATCCCAGTATAAAAACTAAATTTGAAATTTTAATAGTAAATAACCAGTTGAATATTTAGCTATGCAATGATTGATAAATGATGTCATACTTATTATCCGGTTAGCAATTGTTTGATAAGCGATAGCATATTTGATATCAGTTTAGCAATTTATTTTGATGCGTAGCAACATTTTAGTATTCGGTTAGCAATCAACTGATAACAATTAACTGATACTAGTAGCACATGTATCATCCAATTAATGGCTTGCAATAAGAAAATGAAAGAAATTCAAATTATTGTATTATCAGTGTAATTAATCAAACAGTAAAAGAATTTGGTGAATATTTGATGCAGTCATTGGATGAGATAATGATATGATTGATGCTTTCTATTGTATTATGGTACCATTGTTACCTGTCCATTTATACACCTATTATACATAATGTCCATACATGGACAATATTCTAACATTAGGTTAATTAATGGGTCACTTCTTCTACCTTTTAATGACAATTTTACAAGAAAGATTTGTTGTCGAACATTGCTTTCTTCCCTCGTATTCATCAAAAACATTTCCTCTTCTCTTTCTCTTTTATTTTTGCTTATTTTTCAATTTTATTAGCATTGATTAATTTATTGATAAAAATGAAATTAAATTATCCAAACAATTGATAAAATAAAATTTTCTAATTTAGAATTTTCAAATTTTTTTAACTTAGATTTTTTAATTTAGAATCTTCGGAAACGATTCAAAGAAAGCTTTCTTCGAATCATTTCCAAAGATTTGATATGATTCAAAGAAAGCCTTCTTCGAATCATTTCCAAAGATTTGAAATGATTCAAAGATAGCCTTCATCGAATCATTTCCATAAATTTGAAATAGCTATCTTTTTTTCTTTAACTATATCATGATCTATCGTATTTTGCCACGTATCATTCAATACCCCGTGGAAGGAAATAAGTATTCAATACCCCGTGGAAGGAAATAAGTTGACACTTTCAAATGTTGTTTATGTTTACTGTATGCATAAAAGTAATCGTATTATTAAGTAATGCTATTATTCATGCTCATATCATTGTAGTAAATGATGAAATTTGAGCATTTTATAATAAGTGCTGAAAAATTGTTTACTGCCAAAATTACAAATTGACTAATAAATTTGAATAATTAATTTAACCAACCATTAAGTTTAATCCAATCAACACCATAACTTTTGCAAAATTTCATTTATTATAAGGCGATAATTTCATCGTATCTGTAGAGCAGTAATTAAAATTTAAATCTTTTTGAAATAAATTTCTTTTTTCTTTATCAAATTAAATTTCAACTTTTAGCTAATTTTTGGAAATTTTTTTTTTAGAAAAATTTTGCAGAACTAATATATTTAATTAATTGGCTATTTAAAAAATAGGCTAAGAAGTGAATGAACCATGTAAAATGGTTGATGCTGGAGGTCATAAATTCTACCACCGATTATCCTTTTTGTTTTGTTTTGTTTACATTTCTGGTGATTATAGTTTGTGCTGCTACTCTTCTTAACCTTTCCATAAACATAGATATGTTTGTAGGATCACTTCGTGATAGTTCAACTAGTGACGATTCATTGGATTCTATTTCAACGACAATCCGATGTGCTGTACCTCATCGTCCATCCGGTTATTTATCTGAGGGTGAATCGTTATTTACTGCTAACACCATAATTCCAGAATTATCAGTGGCTGGTAAGTAATTTTGTGCTAAAAAAAATTGTGAGAATAAAATTTGCATAGAACAACGAAGGACCAAATGATAGTCCGAACGATGATACATTAAATATTCGGCGAATTGGATCGATTTTTAAAGTATTGAAGAAATGAAAACAAAAAGCATTCCAATGACACAAGTTAGCTGGAAAGAATATAATTTCATTTTTTGAACTTGATATCTATAAGCTAATTGAAAGTATACAAATGAACGAGAAAATCATACTGTAAATAATAGTTCACTTTTTAAATTGAATTAATGAAAATGTTAGTTAGCATAGCTTGCCAAATTTATTTCAATCAATTCTTCAAAGTACATTCTGCGGGTTTAATGAACCCAACTCTTATTTTTTCAATTCAAAAACCTCCAGCTGTAAATAATTATAAGGAAAAATTATCTATCTTTAAGCTTTTGAGTTTTTTTCCTTTGAGCTCTTTTTCCCTATATAAGCATCTCTCGAATAATGTGGCAGTGATTGGTTGGTACGATTGCCACTTGAAGAAAAATACTCAAATATCCTAATTATACTAATATTAGTACTATAAATGCTAAAAGTTGTTAATGTAGTAATAATAATGGTACTAGTGCTACAAGTTATTATTACAGTAATAGTATCGGTGTTAAAGGTCACTGTTGTAGTTGTTATTGTAAATGCAATAATAGTAATAGGAATATTAGCAAAAGCTTAATGATAATAATTAACGGAAATATAATTATTTACTTACAAAAATATGATTTTCTTTCCACCGTTATTCAAATAAATATTTAAAAGATAATTATAGGGAATGGTAGTTTTAATCCATTTAGCTTATAGATTTATAGCTAAAGAAGCCAAGCTAATAATTAAAGGAAGAAAAGCCACTTGGCTCAATTCATCCTATATATATATATATACTATCCATCGATGAGTAGCATTTCTTTTCCTCTTTTATTCAATCAAATATTTGTTAGTAGAAAGAATATACAATATATATATAACTTAGTAACTTAGTACTTAAATGCTTGGTTAGAAGAAATTATTTATTGAAAATTAATTTTCCATTTTCAGTTTTAATTTCTATTATATAAATATGGATATTCTTATTTCAAGATTTCGGAGAATATCGTAGCACCGTCTTTTATTTTCTCATTGATACAAATTTCATTATAAACTGAAACATCTTTCATTTCACTTTTTCTCATCATTAATTCATATTGAAGTTTTCAGTCTTGAATTATTTGCTTCACTCCTGGTCAAAGTTCAGCAAAATAATTTAATGAACACATTAATTTTGAGAGATAATAAAAAGAACTTGAACTGAACTTTGTTGTTTGACATATCAAATTACTGTAAAATATGAGCACATTGTTTAACAATTCTATACAGAAGCATACGAAATAATTTAAATTGAAATTTAAATTTAAATTGTTTGTTTTTTAAAACAATTTAAATTGTTGAAAAATAGTCGAATTATTGACAGTCATTGAAATATCTATTTAAATAATATTAAGTATGAATAAAAATCTAGCAAGTTGTTGTAGATGGAAAAGATATTTTAAATAATGTTTTATTATTATTTCTCAAACAACAGAAAGCATAAAAGTAATTTTATTCAATGCGGTAAATTGATCTTTAAATATAAATTTTAATATACACAATATGTGGTACCTTTAAATATACTTAATATTTGCAGGTAATTAGCAAACAAATTAAATAATATTTCCTTCTTCAATCCCCTCACCAATTTTCTCCAACTTCCATTCATCATTCAATCTTTTCGTTTAGTAATAACTTCGTTGAAAATGATAATGGTAAAAAGATTAATAATCATTTCCAGCTGTTGATGGAAATGATTGTTAACCTTTTTGATTGTTAACCGCACAAAGTGCAACTAATAAAAAAAGGTTAAAGGTAACATTTTAGCATGTCAAAGTGTAATCACCTGTTGTCGTCGCCATCTTCTTACCACTTTTACAGTCTTATTGATTTATCTGATAACTCTTCCGTTTTTCTCTTTTTAAAAAAAAAAAAGATTTATCAATTTAATGATAAGTTATTGGTGATATCATTCAAAAATGTTGAAAATGAGTTTAAAAAAATTAAACAAAAAGTTATTCCATTATTATATTTTTCGTTATTTGAAAATCTCAGATGATATTGTTACTGTTTACTAAATATAATATAATGTATTAGTAATATAATATATTAGTATAAATGTTTTAATCGATAATTGATAATTGATAAGCCATAACAATGATATTAATCATATTTGATACATTTACTTTTTTTGGTTTATTTAAAATTTCCATATTTTATAAATATTCGAAAAAGAAAACAATGCAAAAGGTAAATCTCAAAAACACGATTTTTTGATACTATTTCATCTTTTATGATTGTTTTATTTAAAAGAGTATTTCAGTGCCGAACAATATGACACCTGAAAGATAATAAAAATTAAGCTAATAAAATTCGTTAAGAGTTCAAAAGAAATTTTGAAATAACAGTAAATAAATGAATGGATAATGCAAAGTGATTTTTTGAATCTAAGTAGTAACATATTAACAACGGCTTACCAAAACTTAGTTGTAAAAAAATAACGGTAAAACAAATGCATTGTGAAAGCTTGATAGAGTTTTATAATTAAATAATATTAATCAAAGGATTAATATTAGTTAAACTATTATTGGTTATTTAATTTTTGGAATAAAGGCTTTTTAATATTTTAGTGTAAAATGTTTGAATGAATTTTAGTTCATTTTTAGTTCATAAAATTTCCGATATTTTATTTCCAAATTATGAAGGAATGCCTAAAGCTTCCGTTATTTTCTTTTTTGCAATTGCAATACTATTATAATTTATTTTATGTATAATATATATTTATCAACAGGATATTTCATATCCATTATCAATGAAAAGAATTGAAAAAAGTAAAGCAATTAATATGAAATCAGTTACTCGTTGACATGAAATCTTATTTACAAAAAAGTTATTTACAAATATGCTATCGAACAATTTCTTTAAGAACGATTTAAATAAAACAATTAACTTTAATTATATATAATTAATAAAAGGGAAAAGAAGAAATTTAAATTCTCCAAATTCTCAACAAATTCCATATTTGTCATATAAAAATTTTATTTATTTAATATATTTGCATTGATTGATAGAGAAGAAAAATGTAATTAATTTCTCTTTTCATTTTTAAAATTTTTCAATAATTAATTAAATGAAAAATTTCGAATGATACAATGAACATACCAAATCTTTTCATTCTTCTTTTTCCACTCGATCAATATTTTCCGCATTTTATACGATTAGCTGTCATAACAATCATAATGTCATAATCATATCAATCAATAGAATATATATATAATATATTAATACATTTAATATATTATATATAATATATGAATAACACACACGAAATATATATAATATATTCTATTGATTGATATGATTTGCTGATAAGAAAGCAAATCAGTATAACTTTTCTTTTAGAAGCAAAAAGAAAAAATAATTTTTAATTATTTCGTAATAAAATAAAACTTTTTTATAGTTATTATTCCAGATGTGAGAAATGGTTATATGAGTGAAGGTGGCATTACAGTATATGCTCGTAAAATGCAGGCCCGTTTTAAAGAAGGACTTGAAGCAGTAAGACAACGAAATCATGATTTCAACGATAGGTTTGTTCGTTTGTTCGTTCGTCAATTCTTAATTACCGTATCGTTTTTTTTTTAATTATAAAAGTTTTATTTTATTTCTTTTGTTTTTCATTTGCTTTTCTTTCCCATTCATTACTTTCTTCATTAAATTATCGAAGAATAGCAAAAGAAATGCTTTTATTGACTTGAAATTATATTTATTTTTGAAATTTCATTTACTTTGATTGTTTTAAAAAAAATTCGTTCAATTATTTTAAGCATTAATTTATTTCATTTTATTTAAAAGAAAGATATGATAAAGTAATTTAACAATTATAAATTAATTCAGCATTAATTATATAGGCATAAGTTTGAATAGATTGCATTTTGTTATATCTGTTTCAAATGAAAATTTCATTCGCTCAATTTTTTGCTTCTTAAATTCTATAAAGCAATGCTTCAAAAATTTAATGCTCCTGCTATAATCGTTGATCGAATAATTTTAATGAATTTGAAATTGCTAAATTTTAAATCTAAATTAACAATCAATTTAACAATGGATGAATTTTAGAATATTTTCATATTTATAAAATATGCATACATAATTAAAGAAGCCTTTAATTCATAGCTTTTAGTAAAAAATTGTCATTCATTTTCCATCAATTTAAACGTATTCAGAAATTAGCTAATCATTAATTTATTTCAATTGATTACTCAAAATAAACTGTTGAAAGTGGAGGAATATGCCTTGAAAATGCTTTTCATCTGACTGGCAATTTATTGTTTCCATTGGTCATACTACTCTACATACACAAACATCGATTGTCATCCGTCTGGTCAAATTCGACTAATTCTAATTTATGTCATTCACAATTTCTGCCATTAAGCAATGCTTACTAAATAACCTCTTACCATCCTACCAACTTTTATTTTCCATTCTCATTTATCTTGTTTATCCGTTTTGAAATATTCAATTTTCTCTTTCTCTCTTTCTTGCTATTTCTCTTTCTCTTTCCTTACGAAAGAAGTGTTCATTTTCCTTTTTGAATCAATTTGTTATTCACTTCATGTTTATGTTTATCCCAATATCAACAACAACAAACAACAACAACAACAACACTTTCTTATCATTTTCGATTTCTTTTTTGTTGTTTGAAATTTGTAAAAATTTCAAACAACAAAAAAGAAAAAATTTTTGACTTCTTTTTAAAAGTTTAAATTTGCATATTGTTTAAATTACTACCGGAAATATTTTTTCCGTTAAAAAACGGAATTTAAATTCCGTTTTAAAATATTTTAATTATACGTATAATATAGCATTTCTTTTTTTTCAACATCTCTTGATTGAATGATGAAATTATTTCAAATTTCGATTAATTATTTCTCAATGAACAGAGAGAGAATAATGGCAGTAATAATAATGATAATAATAATACTTAACATTTGATCATATCTTAAAATTAACAAAATAGCTATAATGGATTTGGAAAATGATAATGGGAATATTTATTTACAATATTATTATTAAGTAAATAAATATAAGGGCTTCCTCATTATTTGCTATTTCAATTTATTTGTGTTAAAATTATTTAATTGTAACTAAAATGAAAAGAAATTGATTTTTGCAAAAAATTTTTAGTACGTTATTTCTTTGTGTTTAGCATTTATTAATTATTCGATTCATATTTTTACTCTTAAAGCAGTCATTTGCTAATTAATTAATTAATTAGTTGTTCAGTTCAAAGACAAATTAAATTATCATTCGTTAACAAATTAATTAATGATATTTGTGGACTAAAAATGGAACTTCAACATATCAATTAATCAGTATTTCGGTTCTATGAATGAAATAATCTTTCATTGTAATTCTATTGTTTGCTTTATTGATGGAATATAAATGAGATTATTGTTTGATGAGATTTATCATTCATTACTTCTAAAGATAGTACAGTAGCCCAGCTGCTAGCTAAATTAGTCTAAAGGTTTAGTGGTAGTAGTAGTTCATTAGGTCATTGTCATTGTGAATTATTATTTGTGCTTTGGAAAGATATATGCTTAGGATGATAGGCTAAATGATGTCAAGAATTTTGGCTAAAATCATAGGCTCACTATTTTCCCATTCCTCTTTTATTTCAATTTATCTATGACTAATGATTGAATTGAATTCAATCTATGAGTCATATTTGCATACTCTTTTATTTGACTGGTTATGTGTATAAAAGAGAGAAGAAAAATCTGATTGCTGGCACTCTTTGATGGTGTAGTAGTGATGCTAGGTAATGGCTATTCCGGCCTTGACCATTGGCTACAACTAAAATTGCCATAATTTTATCATCTCTTTTAACGGACCAATGATTTCGCTTGTCTAAATTACTTGAAATAATTTCAATCAAACCGTGCAATATCATCTTGTGACATTTTAAATATATATATATGTATCATCCGTAAATGCGATTGATTCATCAACAACAACAACGTTGCAATTTTCTTCTCATATCTTTTTTTCCTCTTTTGATAAAAATTTTGTTATCAAAAAAAGAAAGTTTCCGTTTTCCTTTCCTTTCATAATTTTCCCGTCGTCGAATGATTGATCTCATTTATTTTTCTTCATTTGTCACAATATCCTGCCAGCTGACATTCATTCAACTAAGCTAAACTATCCTATCCTTTTGTACCTTTTCAAAAAAAGACATCAAATTTTTCATTTAATTTGATTATTTATAATTTCAATTTAACTTTAATTGATTTATTCAATTAACTCTTATCTTTACTTAGGTCTTTATTTACACCTTTAATATTTATGTCTGATATTTACGTTTAATGTTTTTATCTCTGAATTTAAATGATGTTTTCTCTAAATGATACATAGCCTGAAATAACTAGTGAAATAACTAAAATATCTGTAATTTAATGATACTGCCAGTTTGGTAATAGATTAATCAATGATACCATAATGAATAGTATTTAATTGCTCTGGAATCATTTTATCTGAGGAAACGATTAAGATATCTTTGAGCAATGATTAATGATAAATGTTTACTTCAATTTAAGTTGCAATTTAGCCTAAGTGCAATTTTTCTTAAACAGAATTTTAAAAATTATAATAATATCAAATTTTTTAACAAAATTTTAATTTTTATTTTATTAATTATTTTGCATAATTAATCAAAGCTGTCTTCTAACTATTACTTCTTGATATGCAAAAATATTGCTAAAACTATTAAATTATGTTGAAAAAAAAAAAACGGAAAATTAAAATGATCAAAAGAAATATATGAAAAGATAGTTCGAATTTAATTTGAAAAATGAATTTCAAAGCTATGAAAAATAGAAATTTTAAAATATTTAAATTGTAGGAAAAAGAAATGTAATTGAATTTGTCGTAAATTTATCTATTTTTTTCTCTTTTTGCTATAATTTTATTTTATAAACAAAAGAAATTTAATTTTGAATTATTTTATGAAATATTCTAAATTATAAAAAAAAAAAGAATATATAAATTATAAAATAGCAAAATTATTTTATAATTAAAATATTTTAACTAAAAGTTGAAATTATTGTAAATAAAAAGAAAACATATCTGTGAGAAGAAATTGAAATGATCATCCGATTTATCTCATGTTTTATTCAAAATATTTATTTGCATCAAATTTGCTTAGGCTTTTAGACTATAAATTAAAATGTCTGAATCATTCGTACCGATAAAAATTTTAAACGAATTTCGACTAATTTTACAGGGATTTCGATAGAAAGAGAGAGAGAGAGAGAAAGAACGAAGAAATAAGAATGACGGATCATTTTATTGGTTTCAGTTATAAGTGGTGAAGAAATAAGAATGGAAATAAGAGACTAAAGAAATATGGATGGAAATAAGAGACTAGGCTTCATCTTTGATGGGTTCTGTTCGTTTCAGTCCTGATAAAATTTTCGATAGAGGAAGATTCATATTCTCTGCTAAAATGACATTTTTAGCCTATCTTGATACTAATATATCACCAATATGAAATGATTTTCAAACATTACATTTACTGATATCTGTAGTGCAATCATAATTTAAACTTAAGCTATATAATTTTCAAACATTACATTTACTGATATCTATAGTTCAATCTTAATTTAAACTTAAGCTATATAATTTTCAAACATTACATTTACTGATATCTATAGTGCAATCATAATTTAAACTTAAGCTGTCATAAAATTGAGGATTATAAGTGTATATATTTGTTTGTATACCTATACACATCTAATTATCATTTACCTATTTAAATAAACTTTTTTGAATATATTTGTGGTACTGATTGTTTTATTTACAACATTTCAGTAAATCTCATATTTGTTTATTAATATTTGGAAAATTTAAAATAAAATTGAATAAAAAGGAAACTTAAAAATTAACAAAGTAGAAATTTTCATAAGAAAATAAACAGTGAATTTAATCAAAAATATAATTCCTATTTTATAATTATAACTATATACTATATAAATATACTATATGTAAGTTATTTTTTTTTGGTACCATATTATTTGATTAATTCAAATATAAAATTAAACATTCGAAATTTATTGAAATTTAATTAATATTTAGCTAAGGTCAACGTTCACATTATATATGCTTATGTATATATATATGCACATACATGTATACACATATACGTATAACATATACATATAATATTTCAGTGACCTAAGTTATGCGCACTTTTCCGCCGTTCTCCTTTTCCTTAATCTTTCCATCACATCAGATCATTTCTATCAATTTGTTTCTTCTTCCTCTTTCTCTTCTCTCTTCCTCTCTCTCTCTCTCTCTCTTCTCTCTCCAATTATTTGATAGTTTTATGAGGGTAATTAGGATTTTATTTTTTTTTCGCGATGATCGTTATCATTGGTCAGTTTTGAGATATATTTTTAGGATACGGCAATCGGATGATATACTGAATTAATTATATTGTTATAACATATAATTCGATCACATATTTATTTATTGATTATTATTGAATTTTTAATATATTAAATTTTGCTTCTTTTTTTTTTGCCTAATTAAAAATGTTTCATTAATTAATAATAAACAAAGATGACTGATTTTTTGATATGTTT